TTTTCACTAAACCTACATAAATTCGAAGAGATTATAGTTCTCAACAATTAGTCTATCAGGTAGGAAAATAACTAGTTATTCTTCATCAATATCCTAATGGACTTGACTAAACGTGAAAAGAGGGTACCAAATAATGGCAGCATGGCTCATCTAGTTTCCCTGCTACTTGAGCATCAAATTTCATATTTAATCTATAGAAAAGACATTACTTCTGAAAACAACTGCACTATACCAACACTTTTACCACAATTTCTTACTAATTCCTATGTTTTGGACCAGAATCAGAATAAATTCAGGCCCTACTTCATTGAGTATGTTAAATCAGTCACAAGTTCTCCTAAGAGTCTGTTGTTAGTTTAGATTTTCTTTATTGAGGTACTTTACCTAAGTCTTCATCTTCATAATGTGAACCTGTATTGATTCATGTGCACCAAAACTTCAAGTTCTTAAGAGGTCAAAATCAGTTGCAGTACTAAGAATAACCTTTTGAATGTAGGTAACTAACACCAAAGTATTTTTCTATGGAATAAAAAAAGTTGGCATCCACTCACTAAAACAGGTAATATAGTCAGCTATGTTTTAGTATCTCGATAACTAAAGCTACTAACAAAAATTACTGCTTTTTTTTTTAATGACTGTGGTGTCATGGTTAGCTTTCGTGCTCCTCGACTAATTCAACTAACTGTGATTCCTTCTTGAAAATTTATTTTCCCTTTGGCATTCAACAAACAATTAGATACTCAGCCATCATAAATGTGTCTCAATATCATTTCATGGCTATAATGCCAAGAGACTTGGTAACATAAGCTGGCTTGATCTGCTGATAGCCTAGATATATAAGATTGCAACAAGGTCTTGAACCGGTCATCCAACAATGTGGAAAATCCGTCAATGTAAACCTAGTTAGATAAAAGAACTAAAACTGAAATATCTCCTCACACAGATGTACTTAGCTAAAGGCTATTGCTTCACTCCCCAATACATTTACAATATATTTCTTCCTTCTTGAACTCTGAATTTACTTATTTGTTTTATCTACATGGTCATCTATCTTTTTCCCACATTCTACATATACAATGGACAAGTAACAAGTTTTCCCATGTGAACTCACCTGCATACGTCCGCACAGTGTTAACTCTGGCAACCTCCTTAGCCAATGCCGGTAGCTCCTCTCCTAGTACCTTCCCTGATCCTCCATCTAGTAGCAGACAAAGGATGGATATTTATAAGTAATTACACATAAGGAAATCAATTAAGAAAAACTTGGCAAGTAAAAAAAAAATAAAAATTGTACCTGGTGAAGAAGAGCAAGAAGCTGACTGAAGATCTCCTAATTTGGCATCTATGTCGCGAAGAAGAGCACCAGTTCGATCCGAATGGGAAGCGTGGTTGATCAGATAGTTCCGGAACTGTGTATTGAGATCCGAAAGGCTTTGATCGAGGACATGACACTGCGTTCGGAGCTCAGAAAGAAGAGACGAAGCCTGTTCAAGGTCTTCTTTTTCGTTAAGCTTAGCGTTGAGAAAAGAAACGACCGAAACGGACAGTGATGATGGCGGAGGCAGAGTTTTAATTATCCGGTCCATCGTCAACTTGCAATGCAAATTGCAGTTAATGACTTTGAAACTTGAAATTCATTGAATTGATATGTGCAACAGATCACAGAAAAGCCAAGTAGGTATCAAAATTCTGCTAATTTCCGCAACAGCTTACAGGAGTTACGCTCGATTAACAGCCGGAAAACGAAATTAACAAGACGTTGAAGTCAACTGGAACACAACACAGTGGGTCAAGAAGATACCTTGCTGATTATTCCGGCACCTTAGTCGTCGGAGATTACAGTATAGCGGCGAGAATGTCCCTCTTTTCTTTGCGAAGGAGTTCTGGCTTTTGCGCAAGGGAAATTAACGATTGGGTCCCTGAATTATTGTGTTTCTCTAGTTTAATACCTGTACTGTTCAAATAATCACATATAACTTTTGATTAAACTAAATGTGCAATTGTAGTCCATAAAACTAATAGTAGAAGAAAAACAAATTGATAATTTAACTTCCGTTATATAAGATATCTTTTCTTGTATAATGTTTTTTCTTCTACTATTTATAAATAATTAGTTAAATGTTTAACTTCTGCTAATTTTAGGGACTAAAAATATATATTTAATTTAATTAAAAGTTAAATGTGCTTAGCAACTAATAAAAGGATCAATACCAGAATAATGCAGATCATTCAGGTACCAAAATTGTTATGTTCACTTGCGGAATAAACCTTAATTTGGATGCTGAAATGGGCTTTTAACACAAGGGTTATCGAGATAAATATTAAAAACACAACGTTGGCAGGAGAGCTATGGGAATAAGGGATGTAATATCTTTTGCATTTTTATAATCTTTTACGCATGAATTATACCAAATATATTATTGTTTCGCATCGAACTATTTTACAGAAACTCTTATCTCATATATCACTTGTATTTTATTTCTTTACTGTTTATTGTAGGGCTGGTTTCAGTATCACTGTTGGAACTGACTGTACAAAGATTTCAACCTTTCCCTGCTTGGAAAAATGTTAGTAAATGTGTAGGGACACTTGTTTTAGGGGACACCCAAAATTAAAGGTACTCTAAATAACAAAATGGGATCTCTGCTAGTTAACAGAATGGTGTACTTGGAACGACAAAACCTGTATCCAGCATGCTTCGCTGTCGAGTCAATTCTCTAAATGGTCACTCAAGTTAAGAGAATTATCTTAAAATATCATTTATGTTTCATTTAGGATCAAAATATCACTTAATTATCGTTATTTTCCTCTAAATATACTTGACACTTTAAAATCATCACTCTCTCTTAGTTGACATGACATGTCATTAAAATCTTTTTTTTTTAATAATAGACTAATTTAATTCATTGAACCTATTTACTAAAAATAATAATCATATTATTTTTAATATATTTTTACTTTATTAAGAATAAATTTTCATACTTAAAATCTTTTATCATAATTAAACTTTTTGTTTTTTTTATGTTACTAAGAATACATTTTTAAGATGTACTATAATTTTATCAATTTTGAATACTTATAAACATATACATTCAAAAAAATATTGATATACAAATCACTCATTAACGCTAATTTACATCAATTAGTCATAACTTATATAATAAATCAATAATATTAAAGGTCAATTAACCTTACAATAATATTAATTGTATATTTTGCAATTCATGCTTCCGATATTATTTTTTTTGAAAAAAAAGAAGAAGAAAGTGAATAATATTATATTTTTATCCAATTAGAAATACTAAATACCTCAAAAGTCTCCTTAAATTCTAGTTGATATGCCCTGTCATTAAATAATCATTTCAAAAAAATTACTAGACCTATTTAATTCATCAAACTTATGTCTCTGAATAAATATATAAATTAATGAGAATTTATGAAGATTATAAAAAAAGTAATTTTTAAAAATCTAATAACTTTATATTTTGTCACCAAATAAAATTCAATGAAAAACCTCTGTGTGCACTTATTATCTGATAATTTTAAAATTCCTAACTAAATTATTTGAAAATTTTAAACAATTTTTTAAATAAAAGTATTTAGATAAATTTGTAAGGTTGACAAAAAAATTGGTAAGAAAGAGAAAATTATTATATAACTTTTTTTAATTCTTTTATTCTATATTATATTACATTATAACTTTTCATACAATAAAACATCAATAAATAAAATAATAATTAATTGAATTTACTTATTCAATTTGATAGTATACATATTATATGAGATTAATATACTGATAAATAAAGATCAAAATCACTTACTATTTTATTGTTAAAAAGATATTGTAAGTATATATGGATTTCAAAGCATCCAAATAATTATTTTTTAATATAATCGACCTTTAATTTTATTGACTTATTATACAATTTATGATCAATTGAATTAAATTATCATTCATGAGTGATTTGTATATCAATATTTTTGAATGTATGTGTCTATAAGTATTTAAAATTGATGAGATTATAGTACGTTTAAAACGCATTCTGCATGACTAAAAAAATAAAAAGTTTAATTATGATAAAGAATTTTAAGTATGAAAATTTATTCTTAATAAATTAATTTAAAAAATTTAAAACATGTGACCATTATTTTAGTTGAATGAGTTTAATGAATTAATTCAGTCTATTATTAAAAAAAACTTTCATGACATGTCATGCCAACTAGGAGAGAGTGATGCTTTTGAATTGTCGGGTATATTTGGAGAAAAAATAGTGATAGTTGGTTGATATTTTAGTCCTAAATGAAACATAAATGATATTTTAACCAATTCTCTTTAACTTGAGTGACCATTTGGGGAATTGACTCGTTCACTCTCTTTACTATATTATAGAGGGGACGTGAATTTGCAGAGGTTGTTTTTTTTTTACAAAAAATAAATATGAGTCGAGTTATTCTAACCTCATCAGTTCAATTCAAGGGCACAACTGAGCAGGTGACTGAGCCAACTGTCAGACAAGGATGTAAATCAGCTCCTTTAATAGAATATAGACGGACAACATTTAATGAAGCAGGCAGTACGGTAGATAAAGAAAAACAACACAAAAAATAAGAACACATTAAAAAACATATACAAACACTTGTTTAAACCTTCTTAAACTCCATTAGACTCCTCGGGCGGGGCAAATTACATATATAACTTGCACACTTGACTAATTCCACAACATATGTGTCGTCTCCCTCGTCCCATCATTGCAAGTGTCAGATAACTTTGTCCAAAAAAAATTCCCTGATAGACAAACTCTATCATAAAGCAGGATAAGAAATCAAAGGTGCATGTGACATTATAACACATAAATGCCCATTAACAACAGCTCTAACACCATTCTGAGACAGAAGTGACGAACCACTATGGCATTTTATGAGCAGCATAATACAAGGCAAACAATAAGAATACATGATAAGACAAATCTACCAAAAAAAAACATTATATTGCATGCATAAAATGCTAGAAAGGAGGAAATATAATACATAAGCTCAAAGTGAACAGCTTCACGGAAGAAAGAAAAACTGAAAATATATATGAAATTCAAATTATCAATTTACAACACTGATTCAATTCTGTTTGCAGTCATATATCAAATCTTCATGGCAAACTAGAACCTTACCTCTGCTTCAACTTATTGCTGTATGTCACTTCTACACATTATGAATATTCCGCATTAACCAATTGATAATGATACAATTTTCCAGCCAAAAGATCAAAAAGTAAACAAGTGAGTTTGAGAATCTGTATGAAGAGAGGAGATCATACAGATTTTAGTACACCTAACCAAAATAAGACACCTTAGCAACCCATCACTGCACAATTATAAACAAAACTTCCTGAATGTTTTCTCCCTAACAAATTCCAATTTGGTGCACCTTCTGTTGGTTCCCAAGAATTAATCTCAATGAATCGCCCATTTAACGCCCTAGGTCCTCCAATAACAATGAGCTGATCTCCACATGCCCTAAATGCTAGCCCCCAACCATTCATAGAGGTCGCCTGTTCCGGCAATCTTCCTATAGTAATCCATAAGTTTCTTTGCTTATCATATTTCCAAACTTCATTTTCAGCATAATAAGCAGCATATAACTCATTCTTCACAACTGCTAAGAGTGGAGGTGCCTTAGCTATTGCAGGAGCATCATTAGCTACAGCTCCTCTGTTACGTGCTGGGAACATATCAGGTACCTCTGTCCAAGACCTTGCTTTGAAATCATACACTTCACCACAAGTAAGTACATTTAAATTGCCAACACCAACCCCACCAATTATATGGAACTTCCCATCCAAGAATACTCCAGAACACAATTTTCTTGGTTTATTCATGCTTGGCAGAGTCTCCCATGTTCCTGTTTCTGAATTATAAAGCTCAGCAGAGCTTAGTATATTGCCCCTTGAGTCACAACCGCCTGCTACAATTGCAATTTCCCCGAGGCTTCCAGAGCCAAAAAGGCACCTAGGTGTGTTTGTCTTCATACCCGATGACCATGAGTTGGTCAGGATGCTGTATTTGTAGATGACATGAGACTCTATTGCCTTTCCAAATACAAGAAGTTCAGTACCAACTGCCAGTGATTCCTTGTCAGAACACATGAAGCATTCATTTGATGTCATCGCCGGCAAATGCATCCACCTAGAGCGAATGGGATCAAAGGCCTCCCACTCAAGGAGGTTGCAAGAGAAATAAACCCAATGTTCTACAATACCCATTTGTCTCCTCAGCCTATACAGTTCTCCACTCTGAATTAAAGACCTAAAGCTCTGGTTCAATGAAGCAATTGACCCGTAATCTGACCTTGAGCAATGAAGCAGGCAATTTACTGAAAGGTCTCGCCCAATTTGGTGGATTAAAGAGCTTGAATCAGAGTGAGTGCCACTATTCTTCTGCTTATCTGAGTGTTCTTCTTGACAGAGCGAAAGATCGTGAAGGCACTGCATGGCTTCTTCCTTCTCTTGGTCATCAAGCAGCTTGGATGACTTCCTCAAACCAGTGTCTGCTACATCCTCCAAAGGACGCTTTCCCTTTGAGTGTTCAATAACTTGGAAAGCATAGTATATCCACTTGCTCGCTTGCTCGCACGCACAAGGCAAGTCCCTTGAAACATGATACGATTCCTCCAACATGACGCTTGATATGCACAGGGGTCGGACAAACACACCTAACCTGCAAAACCAAAGCCAAAGATATTGTCCTTAAAAAATTATGCCAAATTATAAGATCAGAATTTAAATTTTGTAGATATTCCAGTAAGAATACCACATCTACAAGCACAACATCTTTCAATAGAGTGCAAACATCAATTAACTGAACAGTAATCTTTAATGTCTCCAAACACTAGACAAAGCAAGCATATAGTATTCCTACAGATATATAATAAGTGATCAACATAAAAACATGGAAGTAAAACAAAAAGAGTTATGGTCCTTCAAAACAAAGAAAAATAGATGAAAGTGAATTCAAAAATTGTTCACAAAAACAATTATTAATGAGCTTAGACATCACTATTGGAGATCCTGGTCACTTAAAACCTAGTATAACTGAAGGCCATAACATTACAAAATGCGAGGGCATAGAATCAGCAGGTTTTACTCCTTTAGGACATCGAATTAGGGGATTCTGTGGGAAGAGAAAAGGGTAAAAGGATTACCACCATGGATGAGTTTGGATTCATTAAGAAAGAAAGACAGAAAACATAACCACCTATCGTGAGTTTTCTTACTGTGTAAACACTTATAATCGCTACAAACAGTTTTCAATGGGAAAACATGTGATGCAGGATGCTTCCATGAGAAGCTTTTCCCTACTTTGGCAAATATATTCCACACCAAATAAACTTCGTCCCCCCATTTGCCTCTTCTTTTCTCAATGTAACTACTTTCTTGCATTGGATTATCAACAGATTGAATTCAGGTAACACATATCCTCCACGACTCAGAGCTATTTAACTCAACAGTTCACAATGCAAGCATATAACACAGAAAAGATGATGTATTTATCATCATAAAGTTGTAAATTAAGACATTCTCCGGTTAAAACACTTCCCTATTTCACAGTTTGTGGAAGTATTTGAATGTTCTTACAACTTGAAACATCCAACTAAAGAGATCTCCGACTAAATAATAAAACTTCGTTTGATTTTCTTACAAGCTAATTATTCAAGTATCAGCCGCCAGCAGGCTCCAAACAATTTTTAAAATTACAAGAGAAAGACAACGCCTTAGCATAACAAATTCCTTAAAAAAATCCAACTTTGAAAGTTGTGAACATGGATTAATAACCTGAGCACTTTTTACCCTTCAATTTAGAATAAAAACTAGATTTTTGTGAATAAATTTAACTTGAAATCTCAAAGTAACAAGGGTTTAAACTTTCAAAGTGGACGCAAACTATCCTTATCCTGATAGATAAGGCTCCACAGTTATATCAAGGAAAATAAACCCATCTTACTCAATTGAAACTAAAAACAAATGAGATTCTATCTAGAAAGCAGCAAATAAACCTAACAGCAGCAATTCATGAAACGGGGGGGAAAATCAGGCGAATTTCTGGGTTTTCAAGTCTACCAACTTGCAGAATCAACAAAACTTCATACAGATAGAATAGCAAAAAAATTGGAACCCAAAAAGTTCAACATATAAAAATGGAAGCAAGAGATAAAGGAACTTACTGAGTTTTGCAAAAGGAAAGAAAAAAAAAGAACAAAGTGGAGAGGAATGAATTAGTTAGAAACCCATGAAACTAATTAATGTAAAGCAGTAAACAGCATATGTATTTATCAAGTTTCAGTGGGCAAGTTTTGTGGGTAAAGACAATTTTGCTTTGAGGACCCTTCCGTTTCGAATCTCAGATACAGACAGCTGTTCACTCACTCACTCACTCACTATTTTATTCTCATTTCTCTCAGACAGACAGAGAAAAATTGGAATTTGCAAAGGAGATGAATTGATAGTGGCGACAAATAGATTGAGTCTGAGTTTTAAGAATAGTAAATTTTTAAAACAAATGTTTGATAGCTAGTAAGTGAGAAATAAAAAGAAGATAATTGCTGCTATTTTTTATTTATTTATTTTTTTTGCATTGGATTGATTAATAATAAAGAAAATAATTCGAAGGACATTTAACGGAAAAGAGGTGGTGGTGGCGGTGGGTGGGACCAGTAACGGCGGAGCAAGAAAGTGACGGGATGTTCACTAGTAACGGCCGTTTGTGAACGTGTAAGTGTTGTTCGCACGCGTAACGCTCTTTACCTTTTCTCCAGGGATTTTTCTTTTTTCTTTTTGGTATAAGAGGGTGTTTCCCGTTCTCTCCGCTATTTATTGCTTTGTTTCCTTTCTTATCCTCCGTTTTAATTTATTTGATTCAATTTAATATTAAAATAAAAATAAATATAAATATTTAAATTTTAAACTTGTTAAAATATTTATTCATTTGGAGTTGCTATAATATGCAAAATCTAACATTAAAGAGTTGTTAAAAAGGAAAAAATTATTATTTATAATTTTTTGATTGGCAAATTATGTTTGCTAGTTAAATATATAACGAAAAATATACATTATTAACCATCTATGTCAGGTTCAATTATTAGCTAGGTGTACTACATAGTGAGTCAATATTTTAAGAAAACGTTATAATTTTTTTACTTTGACATAGTATCGTTATGTAGAGTAATAATTTTTTTTGAAACTCCAGGATAATCTGCGGTTACTATAATCTCTGCTACAACTTCTTTCTTTGGGTGTGCAAACCACACAGAAGACGTAAATTGCACTAGACAAACCCTATGCGACAGGTTCGACTCAGAAAGCATTGAGGAGAAATTGATCCCGAGTCATCTGTGTACGAATAACCACCCTCCAAACCAACTGAGCATCCCGAAGGACTAGAGCGTCAAATTTGACATGATCAGATTATGAAAAGAAAAAATATAATTAAAACTTTTATATATAATCCTTTTAGCTCAACTGAAATAACTATTAACTCAAATCATTTTAACTGAAGTCATTTTAATCTATCTTAATTTCAGTTCACTTTATTATTCAATCAATAATAGCTTATAAAGTGAGAGGCCGAGGTAGAACCCCACCCCACATACAAATTCAATTTGCTTAAGCGACATATAGTTTCTTCTTCTACGTAGTAAAAAAAAAAAAAAATACACTAATTAGCTTGACAAAAGTGAAGTGAAAAAAATACAACTTTTTGTGTTGAAATGGAAACAAACTACAGCAGTTGGTTTCATATGACATAAATATTAAATTAGAAAGAATGATAATAGTCGAATGCAAATGAATTTTGTAGTATTACAAAGTTTAGGAAAAATTTTGCATTATGATATGAGTAGTAAATGATAGGGTCCAGATTCCACATGTTAGCTGACATTATATTTTACAGATATGGGCATAAATTGTAACATCAGTCCAAGTGTATGAAAAGAGTTGTACTAGTATTTTTTGGGTTATTTTTACCAAACATGGTAATGTCCTCATTTCTCTGAAATTAACAGTTGTTCCCCACTTTTTTCTATATCATATATATATCTCTAATAATAACTAACTCATCAACAAGGACAAATTTTGATCTTAGCCACTACCCACAACTAGTATTGTGTCGTCTTACCATTATAACTAATTTAAGACATCGAAATTCTATCAACAGGGGTTTGGTGCGGTAGAAATTATTTCTTTATTCTTAATCAAAAGGGAGTTTCGGATTCGAGTCTTCTTATATACAGAGTCACCTTCGTTAGATAGCGTTTTATCTCTTTCTCAGCGCGAATTCAGATTTAATCGAGACACAATATGAATATCATACACCAAATGAGAAAAAAAAAATCAAAATCGAATTTTGTGTACGAAATCGACTTTTCGATTGAAATGGATTTTTAACTAGTATATTTGGCTAAACTTGTTTTTGTTCAAAAACAAATTAAAAAATGCTTATTTTTAAAAAGTAAGGTGTTTCGTAAAATTTTTGGGAGAAAATAAGTTTTGGGAAGAGTAGTAGGAACTATTTTTTAAAAGCTAAATAAAAATAGGTTTTCTCTATAAGTACTTTTTTTTTAAAAAAACAGAACTTTAAGAAAAATATATTTCTGTTTAGAAGCACTAATAAAAAAGAAAAATTTGATGAAACTTTAATTATTGCTTAAAAGTGTTTTTAAAAATTTGTTTATTAAATATTTAAGTGTTTCTCAACAAAACTGCTTTTTTTAAAAAAATCTATTTTCTAAATAACCCAATATTAAAGTTTGTCCAAACAATTAATTTTTTCTCTTGTAGTATTTCCATAGTGGAATTATATGGCATCTGTGAAAAGAATAAAACCATTGGTAACTATTCTTTTGCAGTAGCCAAAAACAAAACAATCGCTAGATCGCAATAATAACAGAGTTCATTTATCTTATGAATTTTTTTAAAAAAAGTTAAATTGTCATTGAACGCTACGAGAGACTGGCTAACCTCCTAAACTACTAGTGTACTATATGCATTGAATTTCTTCACCAGCCTATATAGTGGCAAGATTCATTTATGTTTTTTAGATCACTATTAAATAATATCTTCGAAAAAAGTAATGTATATAGTACATATTTTTAAGTGGAATCAAGAGATATATTCTTTCAAGATACTAAAATGTTGTATTAAATAAATAAATAAACAATGTTCTTTTATATATACTCCTTAAAAGAAGAAATAAAGGTTTTCAAGTTTTTAACGGCACTTAAAAACATGATTTTTCAAGTGCTTTAGACTTTAAAGAGATAATTATGTACACTATATTTGTGGTTATGCAAAAAGCCAATCACTAAATAATAATTTAATTAGAAATCTTGCCAAAAGGTTGTCCTCATCTATGATATGTTAATCTGAGTGGTTAATCAAATGATTAAATCTGATTAGTTTAATTAATATAAAGATAGTTTCTTTATGGAGTATTACCAGTTTCTGACACTTCAGTCACTTAGCTAATTATTGTTATTTAATTTAATGAATGGTGTCAAATGAACACCTAAAAAGGTGGAGGATGGTCATCTGTGATCTCTTCTCAATGTCATTTTAATCGAGTTGTTACATAGAATTTATATAGTGTGATTTATATTTGTTATGTGGTTTGCATGCTGTTATACACTGAACATTTTACTCAGTACATATAAAGTATTTTCTTAAAAGATAGAGATTATAGCGAATGTTGGTAAAGTTCTATATAAATCAAAAATAGAATTTGTCACGATAAAGAAGATACATGTATAATCTACCTTGATTTTATAGATAGTTCTAAAGAATCACAACTGAAGCAACATAATAATCTGAAAGGACTCAAAAGTTGAAGAAGCGAGTTTATATGTAAAAATAAAATAAAAATATAAAAATTGAATGTATGAAGTTAAATATAAAAATAAATTCCTGAATTCCAAGGGTGATAAGTAGGTGGAACTAAGATTTTTTTGTTATTTATATTTCCTCCGCTCAATAATAGTTGTCCGGTAAACTATTTGAGATGTACAACAATACTTGTCCACTTTATGAAATTAATAAATAATGTTAAATGTTTTTGTGCTTAGATTATGTTACGCTACTAATTTTGACTCAGTTATATTAGTCTTTGCCATATAAAGATATGAACAAGGCTAGACCGCAAATCAATCTGGCCCATTGAAGTGTGGCCCTTCCAGGTTGAGGTCAAGTTAGTACTTTAATGAGTAAAGCCTTAAGGGGCGGGTTGGATGAAGAAATGAGTGTTCGGCCCAATCCTCAACCCATTAAGAAAAGGGAAAATTACATGGAATGATAAATATTTTTATCTAATTAATTAATAAAGGTATAGTTTAATTTATTTACGGTAAATAAATACAGTTTTAATTTTTTTGTCATAGTTAATAAGGTTATAGGTTAATATGTATTATAAAATATTCTAAGGATTTCTTTGGTCAAAAGTATATTTGGGAAAAATTGGGAACTAGTGTTGGCCATATGTTTTGTTATTACTTGGGAAACATTCCAAGCTCTAAAATACTAGAATTTGTTCTAGTGTTTGAAATTTTTCAAAAATTATCCCAAACTTTTATATTTTATAAAAATACTATATATCATTTATATTTTTGGACTAGATTTCATTCCTAGTTTTTGTACAAAAATTATACCATTATACACATATTTAATACAAATTTTATCCAAGTTTGTTTTTTGTAGTCATTTCCAATTCCATGTAGTAATATAGTTTTTTCTTTTACAAATCACTGATTGATATTTTCCTTTTATTTTCATCCTCTTTTTTTTATTTATAAAAAAAATCATATTAGTTATGCGTGTTGTCATGGTTTTAACGTAACATTTTCATTATAAAATAATAGTATGAATTTGTGGGTATTATAAGTCATTTTTAGAACTTATGAACGTATATCATATTTTTTTAAAAATCAAATATTTTTCCTAAAATCTTTGATCAAACATATGGTTAAACTTCATGAAAAATAACTTGCGAAAATTATTTAAAAATATATAGTCAAACGCTAACATATATATGTAAAATTTCCTCAAGAACTAGGTTAGCCGGCTTCTTTTAATATATTGACATAAATTACGAAAAAGCATTTTAATATTGAAGTTTATCATTTCATATTAAAATATATATATTGGAAGATTCAATTTTCATACGAATTTGGGGACAATGTAAATTGAAAAGAATAAAGGTAGGAATAATATTTCTGACTCTTTTCCCTTTAATTTATAAATCTAAAGGCAAAAAAAAAAAGGAAAAAGAAAAAGACTTTTTGAAGTCACGTGAGATTCATGTGAAGTAAAAGGGCAAAGTTGTAAAACAAATTGAAAATGCCAAAACGGTTCAACGGCGTCGTATCGTCCCTGTTTTTCAGCGATCAAACCAGTGCTGGAGTTTTTTCAACGACAGAGCAAAGAGGGAGAGAGGGTTTAATGGGCAAAACCGATTTGATTGCAAATTTTCAAATTCCTTGATTTTGATCTATTTTGTTGTTCCAGATTCTGGATCGTTGCTTCAAATTCGAATAGAGTTGAGTTGATTCGTAAGGGGAGATGGTGCTGGTTT